TTAGGGTTTAGGGTTAAGGAAGTTAAGGGTTTAGGGATTTTCGGGTTTAGGTTTAGGTTTAGGTTCAGGGTTCTTGGGTTCGTGGGTTCTTGGGTTTAGGGTTTAGGGTTCTTGGCCCCCCCCGTTTGGGGATTTAGGGCTTAGGGTTTCGGTGATATATTTTAGATTGTAACAACTGAAGCGTCATTCGTCACACTGCTGGGTAATTTGTTGAAGACATGAAAGAGTGAACTCTGTAGGCTCTTCCAGTGGTCCTTCTAGCCCTGGGAGCATGGCGCACCAATAGTTCCCTATGAAGAGCGCCAAACATATGCGTATACGTCAGGTTCTACCTAGACCGCTGATACTTGCAAAGAACACTTAGCTTCCGGGATCCCGCCAGTTAGCTTCGTCACCGGGGTTTTCAGAGCTCTTACATATGGCATCACGAGTGTGGGTCTTGGGGTATCGGCTGGCAAGGCTTCGGACATCGTCCCTCGTTCCAACGGGTTTTCGCTTGAACAACTGACTCCAATGTTCAAGGAAGCCCTGGTTTGGGGGCTAACTCAGAAGTCCAGTCCTTCAAGCTTTCCTTCAATGTTCAGGACCTGCCAGTGGGTTCTTTTTTGGTTTAGGGACGTGTAAGCGAGCCTCACGTCAACCTGGGATGTACTCGGGCTTGAAGTCAGCAGTGCACCCTAAACCCTAAACTCTAAACCCTGTAAACCCTAAAAGCCCTAATCCCTAAACCCTCAACCCGAAGCCCTAAACCCTAAACAGGAGTCAGGCTACAATTTCGCTACTCCGAGTAGACCCTTGCAGGGCCCCCCGGCTCGAATCGACAATCCCCAAGCGGTACTCGATAACTTAAACGCGTCAGGGTCTTACAGCTATCGAAGATACCCTCTGTCAGTTTAATCCCTGAGCCCCCAACTTAGAAAATCACTTCAACCTACGAGGATCCTGTTGAATCTTAGCTCTGCCTCCCCCCTTTTCCAGAGAAATGCACACAAGAACTCCAAAAAAGCCCCTCCGAAAACCCATGAACCTGCTGAGAACATGATGAGAAGGTTGACCTGTGTAGCAGGTTTTCGCACCCACGACCTGAGTAGGTCACTGCAGCAAACCCAAAGCTCTAAAGCCCAAAACCGTAGCCCCTAAACCCTAAAGCCTCAACCCTAAACCCTAATAATCCTATAAACCCTAAACCCTGAACCCTAAACCCTAAACCCGAACTTGAAACCCTAAATCCCAGACCCTGGCACTGGCGCCATAGGTGGCCAAGGACACCTTCCTCGGATCGCTTCCTCCTGGGTCCCCCTTCGCAGCTTTTGGGGTTTACCCATAGGCTCCCTAGGAGTTCCTTTTTGTGGTTCATGTTTGGGATGCTATAAGGTAATCCCAAAAAGGAACTACTAAGGAGCCTATGGGTAGGGTTTGGGGTTGAGGGTTTAGGGTTTATAGGGCTTAGAGTTCAGAGAGTGTTACTGAAACGTTGCTTTATAAGTCATAAACCCTAGAACTCTGTAAATTCTAGTTGGCTCACCCTGGTTGATTTGTTTTTTGTTGGATCTGAGGTTTTGCATGGGGGTGAGTGTTGATGGGTCCCGGTCTCGGACTTCCGGGCTCAGGGTCGAGGCTTTAAGGGTTTTGGAGTTGAGGGTTCTGGGTTCGGCAGTCGTGAGGGCTTCGTATCCTAGGATATTTCGCGTTGGCTGGGCCTTGAAGCTGCCTGAGAGCGAGGTGCTGAGAACTGTGTTCCCTTGAGGCCAATGTTGCCTCGCTCTACACCATATATCCGGAACCACATTGGCCATGGCAATCAGGGCTTCTCTTTCTCCTTGGGGCTTCCCCATTCAAGACTGGATCCTGAGTTGACTTGCCTTGGGCCCTCTAGCCCATAAGCAAGGCTATTCCTTACCTCGAAACCTTCAGTGTGGAGGCCTCCCCGCCAAGCCTAAGCCGCCTTTAAACATGACTCCAGGTATAACCCAGCTTCCGCAAGCCTTTCGGCTGGAACCCCTAAGGCCAACAGTTGTTTTTTTTCTTGCGCTCCCTGAAGGTTAAGGTCTGCTAGATACGCGTGAGAAAGGAGATCGACACCAGGATCCTGCTGCACCCTAATAATGGTCCAGGTACTGTATGGTATACACTTTGTCCTAGGATGTACACAACTTTTTGGTACATGGACCCTTATCGGGGTACCTTAGGTTTTGGGGGATCCTGATGTCCCAAATCCCGTTTAGGGTTTAGGATTTCCCGTTTCAAAGAAGGACAAACATGAAGTTCCACAACCCGAAAGCCCCAAACCACTCAGCCCCTCCAGTTGCTCAAGTCCCTAGCCAGGCCAAAGCCTCTTCCGGAGGGTGAGATCTTGGAGGCCTATCGGGATGGCCTGGCTGCCGGGTTGAGGTTTAGCAAAGTTTCTGGGTCCTTGTTGGGTACTTTTTTGCATTTTTGTCATAAAGAAACCTAAAAAGGATCAAAAATGATCATTTTTAATGTCGCTCCAACAGGGAACCAGGTTTAGTGCGTTTAGGGTTCAGGGCCAAATGGCATAGCAATACTTACTCGTGAAACAGGTTGCGTGAGGCTGGGGGCGGCGGCTTTGGCGGCGGCGGTGGCTATGGCTACGACGTGTTATATTTGCGTGTAAGCAAGACTACTTCTGTCGCAATTTCATATCAACCGTTATAACTAACCAGCGGAAGACGGATCATAATTATGACACTAGCACTCCTAATCGCAACAGCGACACAACGTGCAAAGTTCCACGGTTCAACCAATGGACTGCGAATTGCGTTACGTTGGCATTGCGATAACCAGCTGTAGCAACAACAGGAATAGAAGTGCTGATGCCCACAACAACAAACACCCTGTTCAGGCAGAATCTCCGGATGCGTGGCCTCTCAGGCCCACTTCTGGTATCTTCTGGTTGGGATGCCTTCGGGGGGCATGTGCCATTGGAAACTTCTGGCGCTTTGCGGCTTTGAGGTGACACGGTCCTTCTAGCCATGAGTCAAAAGATTTGGGCCTGTTTAAGCTCACTGCATCCTCGGAATGGACTTCAAATGGGCCCCCAAATGTGCACTACTGGATGACATAGCCCAAGACCCTATACCCTAAACCCATAAATCCTAAACCCCTCAAAACAGCCCCCCACTACGGATTGCAAAGTGCAGACCTTCTCACCATGGCCTGCAGCTTGAAGTCCTCAAGCGCAGCGACTGTAACTTTGCTGGACTCCAAGCTCGGTCCAAGCCCTGGCTTTAGTCTGCGTTGTAGTTCCTGTTTTTGCTTGCCTCGATTTTGCGATTCTGCCACCAAGGAACAACACTGTAGCTATTTTTGCAGGCCCCCTGCATTCGAGTTCAGGGGGCGATGCACAACCCTAAAAGCCCTAGACCCCAAACCCTGAATCCTAAATCCTAAACCCTAAAGCCTATAGACCCGAACTCTGAACCCTGGATCCTATAAGCCTAAATCCGAAACCTATAGACCCAAACTCTAAATCCTAAGCCTAAACCCTAAAGCCTATAGACCCGAACTCTGAACCCTGGATCCTATAAGCCTAAATCCGAAACCTATAGACCCAAACTCTAAATCCTAAGCCTAAATCCTAAACCCCATAGACCCAAACTCCAAATCCGAAATGCAGGCTTCCGGTTCGCCTGGAGCCTGATACTCCGGAGACGTCCACGCGCGGTGGCAGTTGGCTCAGGGCTGTGGGGGGAGAGCTTGGCCTTGGGTATTTTCTACTTACTGATGATATAAATCCTGCATTACCTTAAGGACCCTAAACTATGGGAATTATGTATATTCCTCATTCTGGGTAATGCAGGATTTGTATCATCAACCATATAGGGCCCATGGATTTGGAGTGTAATCTTTGGAGGTTACGGAGTTCAGAGAGTGGTTTAGGTTCTACAGTGCCGGGACAGGTCTTCAATGTCATGCTACGTCCCCCCCCTCCCCCCCCCCCCAAACCATCGACGTCCAATCTCAAGGCGTCAGAGATGGATCTCGCAAGAAACGTCAGTGTCTTCGTTGTTGGGGTTTAGGGTTTAAGGGTCTGGCTTTACACTGCAGAGAGAACGGCGGAGGGAGTTGAAGACTATCGGAGTAGGCGACCTGCCTTATCAAGTGTTGGGTTCTGTTCTTCCCACTTAGATTATGTTTAGGGTTCAGGGTTTAGGGTTGATTATGAGTCGCTCGAAAAGCCAGGCCCAACGCTTCAAGCTCTAAGCGGCCCGCAGCACCCCAATTCTCCCGGAACGAAGCCTGTTTGCATCCTATGGGTGTTCGAGCTTCAGGGATTTGACGCAGCTCGATTCCGCACCACCAACTTCTGCGGATGCGAAGCTCCGATGCCACAGCTCCAAGAATTGAACTAGATCCCTCGGGTCTTATCATCGAGCCAAACCTGCAGAACTTGTAGAGACCCTACAACAAATGCGAAAGTCCACTAAACCTATCCCTTACACCAAGCCCTGACTCCCGAAACCCAGCCATGGGCCTCATGGGACAAGGCACCCCTCACCGCGGCTCTGTGACGCCGCGGCCCTCCGCTGCAGCCTCCCCGTCCGCTCCCTCTCCATCGGTGACAGCGGTGAGTGGTGCGGGCAGTGTGCTGGGGGCCCGGGCGTTTGCACCTGATCCCCTGGTACTTTCACGCATGTTGCGAGGAGAAGGCGGACCCTGAATAGACAAAGTCAAGCAATCACCCACTCGCGTATGGGTGTCTTACAGGTTCTGTGTTTGGGTTCGGGGCAGTCTAGGGGCTACGATTTACAGAGTTGTGGATTGAGTGCCGACGTCTGGTTATGCTCACATCCGTCAGTCCCTGACGATGTCCCTTGCCTATGTGAATGTTGGGACTTTGAACTAATGGATGTCTCCTCGGGCACACAGGTTGGACGTGCCTGTTGTCGCAGCTGCCGACAGTGCACTGGATGAGCTGCTGGCAGAGGCGCCGCCGTTGAGCGCCTCCAGCTTGAAATCCAAAATCCTGAAGCCTAAACCCAGACATGTTGCTAGGGACCCCAGCTGGACGGAAAAAGGCCCCTTAATAAACACACGATCCAAAGAACCCATGTCTACAAAGCAATGAAATGATTGCCGGTTCGGCACCCTACTGGCCTCAGCCAAACGGCCCGAACATCGTGAGATCGGATTTTTGATCCATGCCTGCCCCAATGTAGGTATAATGCTTTAATAGTTCTAGCTGATTAGATAGTCAACCCGTACCAAACAAACCTCATGGAAACCCTATGAGAGCAAGACATTAAGCACCTAGACCCCTCAATCCACAAGGCCTAACTCTGAATATCCGAGTATACAGCCCAAAGTCATCCAAAGCCCCACAGTACTCCCTGGTTCTTAGTAGGGAATGGGGGAATGGATACCTATGATAGCCCCTTAAGGTCCCCTATAGTAGTTCCAATACCCCATTCCCCCATTCCTTACTAAGTCCCACAGTAACGAAAAAAAAAGCCCCAGGGTCTCTCAGGTCTTGGTTCTTGCCCGAGTCCCTAAAACCTACACCCGGCAACCCTGAAGCAAGTAAGCACCAAAAAAAAGCCCCCCATCTCCGTAAGTAATGCCTCAAGGCTGCTTTGAAGAAAAAGAAGCTCTAACAGCCAAAGGCCCGGAAAAGCCTCTGAATTTCACATTCCGAGAGTTAAAGAAAAGGCCCGGAACCCTCGCGTGACAACGCCGTAAAAGCCCAGGAATCCCGAAGCTCTCATTGAGCCCGGACCTGTCCCTCTGTCCATGTGGGTAGTTCTCTAGAATAGGGTCCCTTTTCGTTTCCCCCAAATAATGAGTAGGCCACCCTGATAAACAAGAAAAGGATATATATATATATATACAAGAGAGA